GAATAGCGTCATCAAGGATGCAGAAAGCAGGTCGAAGGTTATTCTTGAAGTCATATACTCTGATGTATGTGGACCAATCCAGGTGGATTCGATGGAAGGTAATAAATACTTTGTTACATTCATAGATGATTTCAGTCGAAAGCTGTGGACTTATCTGATCAAGAAGAAAAGTGAAATGATCGAGGTATTTGTCAAGTTTAAGTCTATGGTCGAAAGACAAAATGGTCGAAAACTCAAAATTTTGAGAACTGATGGTGGTGGAGAGTATGCGTCGAAAGACTTCGACAGGTTATGTGAAAAGGAAGGGATTATACATGAGGTGGCGCCATCCTATACATCACAGCATAATGGAACGGAAGAAAGGAATAATCGAGCCATCATGAATATGGTGAGAAGTATGTTGAAAGGCAAGAATTTACCTAAATAGTTTTGGGGTGAAATTATGTCGACTGCAACATACATTTTGAATAGATGTCCTACGAATAAGCTACAAGAAATTACCCCAGAAGAATGTTGGTCTGGTGTGAAGCCTAGCTTGAGTCATTTGAAGGTATTTGGATCTATTTCACATAGACATGTGCCAGATCAGTTGAGAAGAAAACTTGATGACAAGTCAAGTCAAATTATTCTAGTTGGATATCATTCGACAAGAGGTTACAAGTTGTTCGACCCAGTGAACAAAAAAATTATGATCAGCAGGGAAGTGATCATAGATGAGCTTAAAGAATGAGATTGGATTGGAAATGTCAATAAAGATTCAGTGGAAATCCTACTTGAAGAGCCAGAAACTCAAGTCGAAAGAGAAGTTCGACAAGAGGAACCAGCAGTTATAGATCAACCAAGTACAAGAAGACCTCAAAGAACAAGACGCATGCTTGCAAGATTGCAAGATTGTGTGATTACATCAGATGATGTGATAGATAATGAATGTGAGTTGGTACATTATGCTTTCTATGTAGATGTCGAACATGTCAATGCAGCTGAAGCATTAAAGGATTCGAAGTGGGTGAAAGTAATGAATGAAGAAGTGAAGTATATCGAAGACAACAATACTTGGTCACTTGTCAAATTGCCTCAAGGCAAAAAGGCAATTAATGTCAAGTGGGTATACAAAGTGAAAATGAATTCCAAAGGGGAAGTAACTCGACACAAAGCAAGATTTGTGGCGAAATAATTTCTACAGAAAGAAGGAATAGACTTCGATGAAGTTTTTGCACCTGTTGCTAGGATCAAAACAATCAGGTTGGTTTTTGGTCGAGCAGAAATAAACAGATGGCACATATGTCAGATGGACGTGAAATGTGCATTCCTGAATGAACCCTTAGACGAAGAAGTTTATGTTAAACAATCAGTTGGGTTTTTGAAACATGACAAAGAGAGAAAGGTGTACAGGCTGCATAAAGTCTTGTATAAATTGAAACAAGCTCCAAGAGCTTGGAATAAGAAAATTGATAATTTCCTAAGGGAGAAGGAATTTGTGAAGTGTACAACTGAACATGGAGTATATGTAAGAAGAAGCAATAATGAATTGCTTATACTATGTCTCTATATCGATGATTTGTTGATAACAGGTAGCTGCAAAAGTGAGACCGAAGACTTCAAAGGTGATCCCAACAAGGAATTCGAAATGTCTGATCTAGATGAGATTTCATATTTCCTTGGCATCGAATTCTACAAGAGCAGTAGAGGTTTGATGATGCATCAAAGAAGATATGCATGAGAAATTCTCAAGAGATTTGAGATGGAAGAATGCAACTCAACTTCGACACTTGCAGAACCAAAACTGCAACTGCCGAAATATGCAGATGAAGATGATGTCGACCCAACCCAATACAGAAGACTTATTGGGTCATTGAGATACCTTTGTCATACAATGCCTGACTTAGTATATAGTGTAGGTATGGTAAGTAGATTCAAGAATAAGTCAAAAGGTATCACATCTAGCAGCGGTGAAGAGGATACTAAGGCATCTCAAAGGAACTCTCAACTATGGCATTTTGTTTCATGCAGCTGATAAAGGAAAAGAACGCAAGTTAGTCAGATACACTGATTCAAGTTGGTGTAGTGATGCTGAAGATCGAAAATCAACAGCAGGATATGTGTTTATGTTAGGTGGTGCACCAGTTGCTTGAAGTTCAAGAAAGGAACCAGTAGTGGCATTATCATCATGCGAAGCAGAATACATAGCTGCTTCTCTTTGTGCATGTCAGGCAACTTGGATGGTGAACTTGGTCGAAGAGATAACAGGGAAAAATCATAGAGTAATTACCATGAAGATCGACAACATGTCAGCTATCAATCTGGCGAAGAACCCGATAGTACATGGTCGAAGCAAGCATATCAAAATGAGGTTCTACTATATTCGAGAACGGGTAGCAGATGAGAAGATGAATTTGAAACACTGCAGAACTGAGAATTAAATTGCAGACATTATGACAAAGGGTGTGCAGGTCGAAGTATCTCGAAGACTAAGAGCTATGATGAATGTAGATAGCTTAGACACAATAAATTAGGTAGTGTATTGAAAGTAATTCCTTGTGTCGAAGCAGTTTGCTCGACAGAGACAAGGGAGTGTCGAAAATGCTACACACATATTTGATTGATTTTAGATTTAGATAGATTTGATTTAGATCTAAAATAGATAAATTTGATTTAGTAATAAAATAGGTATTTTGGGCTTTTATAGTTTTGGGCTTTGGCTTAGTAGCAAGCTAACCTAAATCTATAAATAGAGGGAGTAACCCCTAATTTTTTATTTTAAGCAATTCATTGTAATCACAGAACTTACAGTTGCAAGTGATTAATAAAGTTTTCCACAGTTTGTGGGCAGAGAGAAACTCTGCAGAAAATAATTGTCTTCTTTCTTTTCTTTTTTCATAATTCATTGTCATTGTGTGGTGATATCAATCTTATTCATCAAGAATGGTAGAAATTCATCATAAGTTTTTGATGGATTTCCAACCGGAGAGATGTTGAGATGCCAAACAACCTTGCTCCACAGGCAGTCCATAGCATATTTGGATTTGAAAGTAGGCTTCTTTGAGATCTAAAGAACCAGAAGAAATGAGATTCGAGCAAAGGATATCGTCGTCACTGTCAACAGGAGGCTACTGTTGGGCAATCCACAAGTGTAGAAAAGGAAACCAAACGAATCAATCAGTCGGAATATTCTAGCGACCATGGGACGATAAATCTATAATACGAGTGTAGGGATTTATACCTTTGTGAACCAGCTGCCAATGTCGATGTTGTTTATAAGCGGCTCACCAGTCCAATAATCAGTTCAGAAATTAACAGTTTTTCTAGATCCAATACACCAACAAGAATTACTAAATAGGATAGGAAATTCTAGCTTGATGCTGGTCCAGATCGAGGAGAAAATATAATGATGGATAAATCTGTAAGATTTAAGAACTCTATTCTTCATAAGGATTGCCTAATCCTTCTTACTGTTGATTAAATTCAAAAGGAACTTCAAATTAGTTGCTTCATTCAAATAAATCAAAAATCTCAATCTAAGACCCACCTTTAAAATAAGACAGACATGTTTTTTTTTTTCCTCCAGAAGACAACACACAACTTCATATTCATGGTACTACCAGACCAAATAAAGTTCCTGCAAGCTTTTTCAATGATTATAAGGGAGGCAGTAGGCCAATTATAGATGTTAATGGAGTACATTGTCATTTTAATTTATATGTTACTCACAAAACATATATTTTGTGTTTATTATATTAATTTGTTTATTTGAGAATAAACTATGATTTAATGTGTGCACTAACTAACCTAACATATTGTCACCAAAAGGCGAATTTGATCCCTTTTCATATTATTTTTCTTTTACACATTTTTTCTAAAATCTTAACATGTCAGTTGATTCCATGATATTGAATTAACTACACGTGAACTATCTTGATTAATATAATTAATTAAAATTAAATATACTTTTTATCTCTTTATTTTAAAATTTTAATAATTAATTAAATAATTCAGTCTTTTGATTTTTATGGGCAGTCTCATCTATGATGTAACAAAAATGAGTTGGAAGAGTTGTTTAAATGTCATTATTATTAGTTTTATTTATATTTAAAATTTTAAAAATTAATTCTCCACCCACATTGACATTGAATAAAATACATAAATTATTTTCTCTCATAATATAAAATATTTTTTAAAAGCTTAAATGCATTTTTTATCATCCTTTGTTTTTTTCTAACTTAGTAGTTTCTCTTTTAAAAAAAAAAACTATTAGGTCACTTATTTTGAATATTTTTTAAACATTTTTTTTTGTCCTCTCTAATATTTGTTTGTATATGTGGCAACCTCACTTGTGACATGTCAATGAAAAGTTTGACCAATTTTATAATTCTTATTGCAATTTTATTAAATATCATTTTTTATTTAATTCTATTTTAATAAATTAACCGACTTAATTAGGAAATATTTTTTAGATTAAAAATTATAAAGTTAAATTATTAAACACGAGACCAAAGAGATTATAAAATCAATATTGTTTTGCTCTCAAACGCGGTGTCACTTTCTAAAGAATCCTAAAAACGTGCATCTCTTTCTTTATTGTGATAAATTCAAAATTCTCCATACCCAATACCCAAAAATTGCTGCTACCGTTCTTCCATAGTAGTTCTTCCTCAAAATTTAAGATTAGCCATTGACAAGATCCCCGTTGACACCGAGAAAAGTAATAAAGAGGTAAATTTTGTCTCAAATACGTATTTATTTGTCTCTCGTTGTTGTATCCTAATTTTTGCTCTTAAGATTCCTCTATCATATCATATCAACTCGATCATAACAAAATCAAACTAGGGTTTGGTTCTTCTCCTTACCTTTAGCTTTGGTCCTGAGAGATCACCAAGCACTTTGAATCGTGTGCCTCGTATATATGTATTTTATATTTTACTGACTTCTGACCAAAATTCTAAAATATGTTTTGTCTGTTTTGTGTTTTGAAAGACAAGGTTTGCGACCAAGAAGTTCAGGTGATGACTCTCCGGTTAGGGTTATGGTTCGTTCAAGCCAAAAATAGTTCCCAAAAGCCTATGACTCAGAGCGGTGATCTATAATCTTAGGTCGCGTTATCCTCAAGTTCGATTCAACATAGTTAAGACGAGTCTATTTGCTTAATTCTGAAGATTCTTCGAGATAGGTTCATGTGTTTATTTCCATGCCTTCTTCGATGTCTCAAGTTCATATGTGATTAATAGTGTTTTGGGTTATGAAAAAGATCAAGTTCGCGAGTTGATTTGAAGTTGTCAGACCAAAAGTCAATGTTTGCCAGTTTGAGTTTGAATGATCATAACATCCTTATTGATCAATATTTTTTGAGCGATTCTTCGAGCATATGAGTCTCCTTGATGTCATCTCCAACTTCTCTTTACAAGTAAAAAGCTAATGATGTGAGGAACAACTTTGCTTCAAAAGGTTTCTCAAAATGATTTCAGCGGTTGCACCTTAAATTTTACCCCTAATTTTTTCAGTCGCAGTTTCATGTCATATTTTGCTATTTGGTCACAATCATTAACAAATAGTTTCATTCATCACATTTGCGTCATCCAGTCGTGTTTAAGCTGGCCAAAAGTCTATTTAAATCGACATTTGCATCGTTTTGCAGTTGTAAAATATCTGACATTTCACTTCATGCATTTTTATCTGTTTACTCTTTTCTTGCATTACTCTAAGTTGTTTATATGTCGATAATAAAAATATTTCAGTTTTACAGACAGACTATTAAAAGCGATTAAACAATGTACGGAAAATTAGCGAGAAAAATATTTCAAGTTTTCACCTTTTACCGATCATTTTATGAATTTGCGTTTCGCGTAGATTATGAATGTATGCTCGCTTTATTTTTTTCGGTTCAATTTGAAGTCATGTTTTTAATCGTAAACGTCTGTTTAGTCTGATATTTTTATTTTCATTTTATTCCGATTTTCACTTTTTGAATATTTTTTCTCTAATCTTTGTGACATGTAGTTTATTTTAATGTGTTCATTTTATTTTTCCGGATAAATTTTCATCCGTTTTTCATTTGTTTTCAGTCATTTTAAGTATTTATTTTTTATTCAGAAAAAATTCAAAAAAATTATGTTAAATTGAATTAATTTTAACACTTTCAGGTTTTTTGGTTATTTTTATCATTTAAGGGCTTTTTTGTCACAAAATAATGTTTATTACACTATGCTTGATTCCTATTGGTTGTTAACAGAAGTTACAGATCAGTAAATTGCCAAAACGGAATTGAAATTTTGAACGTATGTGATTGAATTTCAGATCATATTTTTCCTTTTCATTTCCTATATAAAGTCCTTTATTTTCTTTGTAATTGGCAACACACAAAACAAATAACACTAACAGTAAATAGCTCCATTCAATTTACTTCTTCTCTCTTCCAACGCCTCACAATTATCCAATTCCTCTTCTCTTCAATTAACTTTCTTCAATTCCTCTCTTTAACTCTCTACTCCCAGAACAACAACACAAAAAGCCAACAACTTCCCCTCTCCTCCCTCATAAACTTACAGTAACCACATACTCTCTTTCCCATTTCTCAGCAATACAATCCAACCTTCTTCATTTCCCTCACCGTATCCACCATAACCCACTGTTAACAAATCCCAATTTCCAATTCCCTTCAATCTTCTCCACCATCAACCGCGATTACTCCTTTCATTTTCTCACTAATTCTCCGCTAGCATCCCATTCCGCAAGCTTCTGCTGTTTCGTATCAAATTCATCCGCCTATTTCTTCATCCACCTACAACCTCCATCAATCCACCCTTCTCTCAGCCGTTCAACAACTTCCAGCAACCACAATCGTCATCACCATTTCCAATCTTCACTCCCAACGATTTCCGCACAACACCATCAATACAGCTTCCGCAATTTCCAGCAACTCCTCCCTCTGTCCACGAAACAGCAGCAACTGCATCATCAATGTTTTCGACATTTTCGGTAACTCTTTCCCGTTTCTTAATTTCTATGCTGTTTGAATTTATTGATATAATTTTGGAAAATTGATATTGAATTGCTGCTTGTTTTAGTAGTTTGTTTTGATTTAAGTTAGAAACTGTTATGCTACCATGATTATTTCTTGAGTTTAAATCTGAAAATTGGTTATGCTGTGATGTTTTATTTGTAATATGAGTGAAGTTCTTGATAATGTTTGTGTCAAGCTTGTATGAAAATTCTGGTTTGTTCTTGTTAAATTGTGATGAAGAATTTGTTACGGTTATGCTGTCCGAATTTATTCTTGTTGAAACTTGCACTCAACTTATTTTTTAATCACTTTTGAACTTAATGTAATTTTGGCATGAGTTGATTAATTTTGAATTGTTGGTGTTGATGTTGTCTTGTTGTTTAAGTCATTTTAAAAGTGGTTGTGATGACGTTTCAAGTTGAATTCAATTTACAAAGTTGGTTGATTAATGGTTGGTGTTTGTACAAAAGTTTAGAATCACTTGGAAATTGATTTTCATGAGCTTTTTATGCATAATTTGCTGCTGTCCAACTTTTGATTTGTATGAATAATGCTTGATTTTTTATGGATTGAATTGAATTATTGATTGAATTCTTGATTTTGATTCGTGTAAATATTTATGTTTATATGCATTCATACAATTTCATTTCAATTTTTTATTTTGTACTTACTAACACATGTTTTAATTATTGCAATTTAATTTCATTTTAATTTTTATACCACTTATGCTACGAACGCGTTTGTTACTGTGAAGGTTTTCGAGAATTTGTTTCAAATATTCATTCTCACATAGCGCATCCCTAATTCCTACACTTCTCCCTTTAACTCTTCATTGTATTTTACTATTTTGATTTAATATTTGGTACTATAAATATATACTTGTACATAATATTTTGACTGTATATTTTATTCACTTCACTTGTAAGTAAATTCAAGTTGTGTAAATATCATTTTCATTGCGTTATGATTTTAAATTTTAATTTAAATTAACTTCTGAAAAATCGCACTGACGCATATAATTTTTTATGTGCTGTTAGTTTTGTCTGTATATTTCATGTGATGCAGTGAATCTTATACCGTGAGCTTTATCCATTCTTTCTTCATCAGTGATTTATTTTCACGTGTTGTGATTCATTGCGCTTTATTTGCTGCTGGGAGTATTATCTTACATCTGGTTTTTTGATGCTGTCAACTTGTGATTTATTTTCACCCGAGGTTTGGTATACTCTTAGCTTATTTTTCTGTCCGTGGCTTTAAAACCCCAAAGGAATGGGAACATAGTATTGACTTTATCATGTAAAGTACTGGTTTTTTAGTCGGTCGTATTTTCTTTACCTTACCGTTCACCTTCTTGTACATAGGACATTCTTTTCTCTCTTTCTTTAATTTTCAAAACCTTCTCATCTTTTTTCAAAAAATTTTTGTTTATAAACTTAACCGCTTTCATAATAAACTTGGATGTATGCCCATGCATTTTCAAAAATTATTTCTTAATCAAACTTTAATCAACTTAATAATACCTTGACATTTTTGTGAGAAGACTAAAAGTCAATCAATCTCATTCAAACCATTTTGCCACCTTGGCTTTTAATTTAAAAACCTTTCTCAAAAGGTTAGGCTCTTATCAATCCTTGTAGTGATGCAAACAACTATACTTCTACAATATATAGTGAAGAGAGATATTTTCCACTTGGGTGTTGAGTGAGGTTTTGTTGATTTTAAAATCCAAGCCATATCCTCCACTTTGAGATGATGCAAATTCTCTTTTTTTCATGATTGTGGGTAGTAAGTATGTTTTCCACACGGACAATGACGACGATGTCTTATCTCTTAAAATTAACCAACACACTTGTGTTTTAAATTTTTTAAAGGTGAACTACGTGTACCCTGATCCCCTATTGCACGGAAGGTGGTAGGTAGGCACTAAAGGTTCACAACCGCGGCGGGTGCAAAATTCATAAAAAATACTTCTCTTATCACCCCAACAATCTATTTTACATACAACATTTTATAGTCAAAATATAGAGATTTTACAAAGAGGTTCCTGCGGAGTACCATAGATGTTTAGGGTGCTAATACCTTCCCTTTGCATAACCAACCCCCTTACCTAGAATCTTTCCCCCTCTTTTGGGTTATTCGCTCTTTTCCCATTTCTTTGGAAACAATAAAGTGCAGTGGCGATTTTTATTTTGATCTGTACAAGTTAAGTCAATCCAATGGCTTTGTCTAAATATTTCTACCACTACAGAAAAATGGCGATTTCACTGGGGAAAGATTGACCTCTTACTGGTCCATCCCTAAGTGGGTTGAGCATATCTTTGCTTATATCTGTATATGTGCTATCGTTGTTTATGTGTTATATGTTGTATATATGCTTGTCTAGATTTTCCTGGTTTTCATGGTGCTTGGTGATTTCACATGAGTCCTATACCCAAACTTGGGCAAATTTAAGATAGGACGGGCGGTATAGTCATGTTAACTTTGAGGGAGTAATCCCAAAAAATGAGGCATGAGGCCCCCCACTCAGTGGAGGCCCATTTGACTGTAGTGCAGTTTACCGAGTAATCGGGAAGACGTACTTCTTTCGACCTGGGAGCCTTCTGAAGCCGAGGACCATAGAATACCTAACTATCTTGGCCTTTTAGGTGTAGTGCGGAAGCTATGACGGAGTAATCCGGAAATAGTTGTCACGTGATACTACACTCGGACAAGTTTTTCTTGAGAATATTACTAATTGTCGAGTTAATCAAGAAATTGGCAATATCCGAAGGAAGTATGTAGACTCTGGGAACCTCTAGAACCTTATTCGGCAGGTGATAACTTTTAGACCATACCTTATAGGTAGTACCTTCGACCTCATGCTCGTGACGTTGAACCTATGAACCCTATGTTTGTGATTTTGTGTGTAATTGTTGCATCATGCATTCATGCACTCATAAGCATCTTTTGAAGACATTTTTATTTCAAGGGACTTAAAAGTTGACCATTTGTGAATATCTCAGGTACTTTTTTGACTATGGAATCTAGAAAAAGAAAGAATGGAAAATACAGTTTCAAAGATCCCAAGATAGATGAGTTGATGAGCCTGATTCCCGAGATTGAGTGTTCTGCAGATTTTTGGAGGAAGTATGGGTCCATCATTTCTCTCATGAAGCTTAGGATAAAGGAGGGTATTCTCTCGACCTTGGTCCAGTTCTATGATCTGATGTATCATTGATTTACTTTCCCTGACTATCAGTTGATGCCTACACTAGAGGAGTATTCTTATCTATTGGGTTTACCTATTACCGATTGTGTTCCTTTTACTGGTTTAGAGGGTGAGCCAAAAACACATGAGATTGCTGCTTTAATCTATCTGGAGAAGTCTGAGGTTGAAGCCCATATGACTACTAAAAGAGGGATTATAGGATTACTAGCTCAGTTCTTGTTGGAGAAAGCCCATTACTTTTCCAGGATGAAGAGCACAGTCGCTTTTGAGGCCATCTTTGCTCTACTTGCTTACGGTTTGTTCTTATTTCCTAATGTGGGCAAATTTGTTGACATCAATGCTATCAGGATCTTTATGATTGGAAACCCAATTCCTACATTGTTGGGTGATGCTTATTACTCTATTCATCTTCAGGATTCATATCATAGGGGGATGATTATCTGTTGCACGTCTCTGTTGTACCGGTGGTTTACTTATCATTTGCCTCAGTCTGATGCTTTCTGGGATGGCAGGAAGGAACCCCGTTGGGGTCCTAAGATTATGGCATTTATTCACTCATATATTGTTTGGTATCATTCGGTTTACCATGATGTAGAGATTGTCGACAGTTGTGGTAGTTTCCCCAATGTACCTCTTCTTGGTACAAAGGGAGGAATTAGTTACAACCATGTTCTTGCACGACGACAACTTGGTTATCCGATGAGGGATAAAACAAATAGTATTCATTTGAATAGTTTCTTCCTGAAGGAGGGAGAAGACCATAAGGAAGCTATGGAGCAAATTGCGAAGGCTTGGCGTCACATTCACAGGAAGAGTAGGAAAGACTTGGGACCTAGGGGGGCTGTTTCTTTGGAGCCTTATCTTCAGTGGGTCCAAGCGAGAGCTATTCAGTTGAAGATGTCGTATTCTCGGGAAGAACCTATGCTTGATTTTGTTGTGAAGACCACTTCTCCCTTATTGGATGATGTGGAAGAGCTACAACTTACTTTAGTCAGGATGCATCAAGAAAAGGAAGCTTAGAAGAATAAGTGTCAAACTTTAGAGATTTCTTATAGAGCAGACTTGAAGGGGAAAGACGACTTGATTGAGATTCTTGAGAGTCGGGCTGTATAGACCATGGAGAGGCAAGGAGATTTATTTTCCCCTAAGCCTCAGTCAGATGCTAGTTGCTCACTTCCTGATTCAGGTGATTGGAAGGAGGTTGCCACTAGATATGCAGAAGAAAACCAGAAGTTGAAGGCTCAGATTTCCAAACTTACAGGGAAGCGTCAACATATAGAGTGATCTCCATCAGCTTTACTTCTTAGGGTTTTAGACTTTATTTTCATCTTGTACTTTGGATTATTGAAACTTGTAATCCATTTTGAAGTTATTATAAATTTTATTTTAGTATTTCAAATGTGTTATTACTTTGATATTTGCAATGTGTCTATAAATCTTTAAGTCCCTTGAAATATTAATAATAAAATAAATCATGTGCATTGCATATCACGCATCATATTGCACATATTTCTTGCATTTGTTATGCATATCCAGGTGTCTTACCAAGCTTCTTTACTCCGTTTATCAAGTTGTCTCACCAGTACAATACCCGAGCTAATTTCAGAAGGAAGATTGACAACTTAGAACAATAGAATCGCGAGTTGCGCGAGGAAGTTTCTGCTCTAAAGGCTGGCATGGCCAATCTCACTGCTCTGATGGAATATCTGGTGGCTGCTCAGAATCAGCCACCGAGTGTTCAGCCTCAACAGATAAAGGTTACTACTAAAGCCCCTACTATTCCCGTGTCTGCTACGCCATCTGTTGTTCAGAATCGCATGCCTCAAGGTTATCCATGGGGAATGCCAGAGAACTTTGTGCCTGAAGGTTTCAATCTTGGTCCTCAAGTTACTCCAGTTGTTCAAACTACTGTTACTCATGCACCTCATGCAATACATGTTACTCCTGCTGCACCTCCTTCAGTGAATGTGGTCCCATTTTCTATTGATGATATGTATCGTCCTTTTCCTCCACCAAGTGAAGGCTTGGGTCTCTATGATCAAATGGATGATTTTCAAGATCAGTTTGACAAGATGCAGAGGGAGATGAAGGCCCTCAAAGGAAAGGAATTATTCTGGAAGAATGTAAATGATTTATTCTTAGTCCCGAATGTCAAGATACCTGCGAAGTTTAAAGTCCCGAAATTTGAAAAGTACAAGGGCAACACTTGTCGTCATGCTCATCTTGTGATGTATGTAAGAAGAATGTCTACCCACACTGATGATTAACGTTTGCTGATTCACTTTTTACAGGATAGTTTGACTGGTGCCACGTTGAAGTGGTAGATGAATTTGGACAACATCAATATCCATACTTTCAACGACTTGGGAGTAGCATTTATCATACAATACAAGTATAATGTTGACAAGGCACCTGACCGTGATCAACTCAGGGCCATGGTCTAGAAAGACAGGGAATCATTCAAAGAATATTCACAAAGAAGGCGTGAGATAGCCGCCCAAGTGATTCCTCCTGTTGTACCCCAAAATTTTCCCTCTCATTTTATTCAAAACATACTCCTAGCGGTCCTCAACTTGCCCAACGATGCTTAAGGATTGACCAGACAAATCCTCCTCTGTGATACGGTGGGAGAACTGACTAGTGTTTTGCGTTCGTATTCGCACTTGTGCGGTTAGCAAGAGTCGCCACCGACTTTTTACTTTATCCTAAAGGAAAGGTTAAAAAAGCACAGCAAAAACCTTTTGAGATATTTCGTGGGTTCGGGGGGTAGATTATGAAAAGGGAAGGTATTAGCACCCTTTTCATCCATGGTTATCCATGGGCTCTTAGTTACTTGGTTTTTTAGATCACTTGCCTTGTTTTTTGATTGCTTTGAAAAATGGTGTGTGTGTGGGTGCTTTTTGAAAATGTTTTGAAAAAGATGCCTTGTCTTAGGCAACTAATGTATTTGACTCGTGTTTGAGTGTTTTAAAAAAGTGTGAATCTTTTCGAAAAGATGTTTTCAAATGTTTTTGAGAGTTTGTTTGAAAGTGTTATGGATTGTGGTTTTTGAAAAGAAGGCAAGTGTTTTTTGCAAGTTGATCTCAAGTAACTAAGAGTTTTGTCTACCCTATTGTACTCAAAGGTTTTTTTGTCATGTTTTAACCCTTTTTAACAATTTTGTTCCACCATTGAAATTGATGGACAATCTTGCGTTTAGGAAGTTTATTCGGGACGGGCGTGGGTCATCGTATGGACCATGAATGCAATGATGCCAAGTGTCTTTGGCAATTTGTTTTGAAGGGACTATGATCATTCCGTTTAGGCAACTTTCGAAAGCGTCATCGAGGGACTTATGATCATTTGATTTTGTTTTGCCAAAGATACTCGACGTGCAAGCATGGCCTATTTTGGAAGGCAACATGTGGGATTACCCTAGGGGGTGCAAGTGTGATTGTGTATTGATTACATGTATTTGTCTGGTATTAGGTTATCTAGCGTTTGATTTTATGCACATACAAACCCTAGGTCTAACCATGGTATAATTGAAAACTGTAAATTGCGGAATATAAATCTACGCTATTACAAAATAGTGTCCGGGAGTGGGGGTATAAATGTACAAGGGGATGAGACTTATAGTACCCAATAATTTACAACCAAATCGAATGTGCGATCAAAATGAATATCAAATATACAAATATAAGATAAAATGTGTGTAGGGCAATGTGAATGTATTTGTGTAAGTGTACAAGTGTATATGTATGTGAATTGTGTAATTATGTACAAGTGCGAAATGTGAAATCGAGTCGTATTAGGGTTTTGACCTAGATAAATGTTTTTAGATGAATCTTGATTTTTGTATGTTTAATTATGTACAAAAGAAAAATGTCTTAATCGAATGTTCAAGCTTTAATTAAGAAATGTATCTTTGTTTGCAAAAAAAGTATTGTGATTAAATGTTAAGTTTTAATTAAAAAGTATTTTAGTCCAAATGTTTGTGAATTTGATATTTAGAGAAAAATGTATTTAAATTGTTATGTATGAAAAAAGAATGTTAATTAAAAAAGTTTCAATTTTAATTATGTATAAAAATGTATAATATGTATTTTAATCAAAAAAAGTATTTTCAATTTAATTGGTATAAAAAGTATTTTGTTATCGTTATGTACAAAAGTGTATTAATTAAAAAAGATGTTTTAAACATATGATGAAAATGTATTTTATTCAAGTTAGTATTTTACAAAATAAAAAAAGTGAACATTTTTTATAAGATAAAAAGAGGGTTAGTGTTTTATAAAAATGAAGTAAGTTAATTAAGAATGTTATATTAATTAAAACTATATTTAGTTAGAAAATAAATATTGTTTGTAAAATAAAAGGGATTAGAATTTAATGTTGTTAAGAAAAGAAGAGAATGGTTAGTGTTTAGTGTTGTAAAAAAAGAGAAGCATTTTAAATGGGCTTCAGGCAAATTTCAAAACGGGTCAGGCCCATGTTGTCTTGAACGAAATTAGGGTTTAGGCATTGTTTCAGTTTGGAACGAAGGCTAGGGCTTGTGAGGCAGCGACGGCGCGTTGAGTTTCGTCTTCTCCGTTTCCATAGATGCAGAAAGTGGTCTTCTTCGCCTAAGCCATCGGCGCCCATGCCTCCTTCTTCCCTCCATTGGCAATGTTAAGGTGTCGGAAATTAGGTAATGAATCTCAATCTTAATTTTGTTAGGGTTTGTTTGCATGTCGTGATTTCATGTTCGTTTCTGATCTCTATTCTTATTACCATAATTTGTTTGAAGCATGATGAAAGAAAAAGATGAGGGTGAATACTACCTGG